ATATCCGATCACAACACTAAAATCGCATAAAAATCACTCGAAAATCGCTTTGCTCTGCAATTTGGGGGTGATCGCGTAAATGTATTCAGAATGTTGGGGGTGAACTCGATTTTGGGGTGAAGAATCGCGTCATGGAGATGAGAAAAATCGCTACAAATATATTATTTTTTTCAATTGGGGGAGAAGAACTCGATTTTTATGAAGATTATGAAGAAAAAAACATGGTGATAAAATTCTATTTTTCCAATTGGTACTAAACTTTAATTTTGGTTTATTTGTTGGTTGTGGCAAAAATATGGTGAAGAGTTTAAAAGGTTGATGTCACACAAACCTCATAAGTGCCACGTAAGATTCTGATCGGACACGCCAACAAAGATTGTCCGAAAAATCATAATAAAAGCTTGATATTTATTTGCAAAGATAAAAAAAAAAAGTTGAATTTCATTTGCAATTATACAAAAAGTGAGGATTTTATGTGAAATTAAGCCAAAAAATTATAAATAAGAAACAAAAAACGTTAAATAATTAGATATTTTGAAAATGGTAATAATATTTTTCTTTCATCTCTCAATTGGTTGATTAGAATTTGGAAACAAAATGTAGATGAATCGCATTCTTCTCTACATTAGACATTAATTATGTCCACCTCATCACTACATTTGTGATTACATTGTGCATTGTAGTATTAAAAGTGGAGACATTAAGAAATTTGTTAATATAAAGTGTAATTTAACTACAACTACATTGTACCATTGGAGATGCTCTTATCCAATCATCCTAAATTTACCAACTTTCATGCATCTACAACATATTATGAACTAATAATAGATAAGAAAACTATATACATACACTGCATAAAATTTACAGAAAAGAAAAGACTTGCATCATTATTAGTGTTCCTCCCAACTCATTAACATCTTCCAGACAGTCTTTTTAATATCTTCCTCCGAAATCGAGCTATCTTCTCCTTCGTCGAGTAGAACCCGATAAACCTCCCACTCACGACCGCCAATTTCATACCTTCCGATTTCAGCCTGCAAAACAATAGTCCAAAGATTCTTAACCAAAAAAAAAAAAAAAACTCTTTTCGAACACTCCCAAGTATAATTTTTAAACTTTTTTAACTCTCCCTCTGCATTTATTCATATTTTCAAAATTGCATACTTGTGAGAAAAGGACACAAATTACGAGAGGAATCTGTAATTTCGAAAAAACTTTCTCGTGATTAGACCAAACACAAGAGTGTTCTTTGCAATATACAATCCGAAAGAGAAGCTATATTGGAAAACGAATATGCAGAAAAAAAATACCGAAAAGATTGGTTTGTTAAGCAACTTGAGAGCGAGGGTTATATCGTGGAAAACTAAAGGGCGGCCCTTTCCCGATAGCTCGATCGGGTTCGCGACCAGAAGCTCGGTATCCGGCCCACGGCTGATCAGGCCCACTCTCAGGGGTCGGCTGAGCTCGATCTCGAGACGGGCGGTCAACGTGCTCTGCTTGCCTTGGTCAACTATCTTCTTACCATCTTCTTGCATGATGAATAAATCAAGCTCGCATTCGGTATCCCCTTTCTTTGTGAGGCGACCATACGAAATCTAATGGTTGATTATAAAGATTAGTCGGTAGTTTATTTCTGGCAAAACTGCATTTTTTGTCTTCGTTTAACGCCATAGCAGTTTTAATCTCAAAGGTTCCAACATTTTGTTTTTTGATCTTGTGATACAATATTTTGCTGCAATTTCAGCAAAGAGGGCTAAAATTGCAACAAATTCCCAAGTTACCAGATTTTCGATTAGCGATTGAACTTCTATAACTTCAAATTTTGTGGCAATTTCAATCATGTAATTTAAACTTTGTTGCAATTTAAGTCCTCAAATGACTCATATTGCAGCAAAATATTGAATCACAAAGGCGAAAAGTTGGAATGTTGTGATTAAAACAGTTATCACGTTAAACCAACATGGCTAAAATTGCATTTTTTCCCTTTATTTCCCAACAAGAAAAACTCTACATTTTCTCGGCGAGTTGGGGTGAAATTTCGTAAAATTGGGTGTTGTTGTAAATTGAAAAGAAAAAATAAGGGATAACTTTTACTGCATGGATGATGGAACTATATATATATATATATATATATATATATATATATACCTGTATGTTGTAATCCTTCAAAGTCCGCATGATATCGTACAAAAGGCCTTTATGGTCCTCGCAAATGATTTGGACGAGCGTGTGGGAAGGACTCAACGAGTTATCAATAGTGATGGATGGGCATTTGAATGCAACTGAATCGACTCGACTTTCGTCCAGATTATCCATACCGAACATTTTACGGGCAATCGAGTCCGAAACAAACGAGGGTTCTTGAGAAGAAGAGGACACAGTCTCGGGGCCCACGAGCTCTATGTCGCAACTGATATTTGCATCTCCAATAATTGCTTTTAGATGGTCGAAAGTGTCGTCTTTTCTCGTTTTTGTGTGCAGAAGTTTCCTGTGAAAGAGTTTCAAATGAAAGTTATTTTGGTAAATTAAAGAATCCTTTACTTAAGATTAGGAGCTGCTAAAAAGCTAACAATACTGTTTTTTTTTTTGTATTTTTTTTGTATTTTTTTTGACAAGAATGGAAAATTCAAAAAGACCTTGTGTCGGTTACAAAGAAGAGGTCCATGACTTTTCCATCCGGAGTTGTTGAGACCTTCACTCTCTCTATTGTAAGCTCGAGCTCACAGAGAACTTTAGTTACATCTGCCAAAGAATTTCTCCAAATTTCAACTAATTTCGTAAAAACTCGTAAAAATTAATCATCTCAATAACTGAACATCGGTAGAATTAAAAGAGAAAACATCACACGGCTTTTCACAATGGAGAAAAAAAAAAGCAATTTTAGTAGTTATTGGACAGCATCACAGCAGTAACTTCATCAACTCTGCATAACTTAGTCATAATTCCAAGCAAGAGTGCTCAACTTTTACAAATAAATAGAGGCAAAACTCAGAAAAGGATTAACGAATTTCAAGATATAAAATCTTTGTAAATGGCGAATGTTGTATACATATAACACACTTACCGTGCAGAAGGCCCAGACGATCATTACAACAGAATCTCAAAAGAAAAACATCTTCTGGCTTAGGTGATTTGCAATCGTCCCCATAGTATGAAATCCCAGAAGCCAATAGTAAACATGGGCATGCCCCCATTAATCTTTTTTTCAACAAGCTCCATCGAGTGCTCGGTTTGCCAAATACCCAGAAAACTATGTAGCACCATTTCCCATCAGTCGACACGTCTTTAACCCGAAAATTTTCCCCCCCAAAAAAAAGAAAAAATAAACACATTAATTATCAGAATAGAATCATAGATTCACCATAAGAGAACTGTTCTAAACTAGAAGCACTTTACATGATCTTTCATCTGTCCGGTGTCGAAAAAATTCCCCAAATACATTAAGCTATCTAACAAGATGCAGCTAGCAGATTACACCAATTAACTCATTCAGTACAACATTAAAAAGCTAGAAAAACCAAATAAAAATCCTTCATTTCAGTCAAAATCATGGAACAGAACAAAATTATCATCAATAACCCAATAAAATACCAAAAAACATTCACTACCACAACATAAGTATTAGTAATGCTAAGGAGCCAACTGTTGGCTCCGTTACGGAGCCAACAATTGGCTCCTTAGCATTATTGACATAAGTATTCCCCTTTTTCCTCCTCACAATCTGCTGCAATAAACCACAGTTGAAAGAGCCAAAAAATCAAGAAAGAGATGAAAAAAAGATTACCAATTCTAACAACTGTGAGTCCAAAAAACAGTATTATCCGGCAAAGATCACAGCCCAAACCAGTCTTGTCCGGACAATTCACAGTAATCACACACGGCTCATCCTCTTTCTCCGACTGCCTGATTATTACAGCATCATCGTACATTAAACCCATCTCCCCAAAACCCCTCTTTGTCCCTTCAAAAAACTTTTTTTTTTTTTTTTTTTTCTCACAAAAAATCGAAACTTTTCACTGTATAACAGTAAAAATTCGCTCTTTCACTGCATAAACCATAGTGGGCGCTCGCTCACAATCTCCAACCAGAAAGAAAAAAAATGAAACCTTTATTATTCCCTCTGTAGCAGAAGCACAAAATCTTTGACGTCGTTTCATACGATTATTGTTGCCGTTTCTGGGCGAGCAAAATTTGGGGCGCTAATCAAAAGGGTAGTTGTCAAAATTAAGAAGGTGAAAAACACATGTGATTAGGCAAAAATATCTGTTCTTTTTTCAGTTCTTTTTACTAACAAAAGGTTTTCTTTTTTTCTTTATTTCTTTCAGTTTTGTGGAATTTTTTGTCTGCTTCGTGATGGTTGCGCCACCTCGTGAGGACCCTGAGAAAAAAATGGTCATGCTTTTAGCTTTAATGGATTAACTATTGCTTGAATATGTCTTTTCTTTTACGCGTCTCGTTACGGAACCATTTCGTCGGGTTAGTAACCGTTAGATCAACTATTTCGACAATTACATGATCCGACAATTATATAATGACCTAACGTTTCAAATCCTAACGAAATAATTTTGTAACGATAGTGTAGCATTTGCTTTTTTCTTTAGTATAAATAAATTCTACATTTATTATTATTACTTTCTTCAAAACATCATGGCCACTCTAATATTATTAATTAAAAATATTAGACAGGTTGTCACATCATAATATTAAAAATATATATAATCATATTATCAAATATCTTGATTATATCAAATATCATATTTATGTTTATATTGTTTTTATATTATGACATTTTTTAGTGAAAATATGCATCTTAATAAAAAAAAAAAGTAATGGTCTAATTGTTAGGTCGGTCTAACACAAGACCAACTTTTTAGGCTATTATGTGAGGAATAAGATTTCGTGTTCCAACTATATTTTATTTCGTGTTTTATTTTAGTTAATGCATAATACGTGTCTATGATGACATCATATTTATACACATGTATTAGTGAATATCTCGCAAAAACTGTAAAAGTTTATTTGACAGATTGATTATGTTAGCGGCTAGTAAATTACGGTTACGTGATTTGCGTAGCTTTTGAAATGTAATCATTAAAATTGATAGAAGGTAAAAATAAAAATTATTAAATAATATCTGTTAATGGGAAAATAATTATGATAAAGAGATTTGTGGCGTTGATTTATTTTTTTATTTTACAAGATAAAATCATAAAACTAACAAGAAGCAAAAGTAACAGTAAAAAAAAAATAATAAATAAATAAAAATATTTTCAGTCTTTTTCTTTGGAATTTTTTTTTTTTAAATTGAGAATATACATATATCAAGATAATGGAATCTCATGCAAGACTGAGAACCACCTAACAAGATCCATAATAAAAGTCTTTTTGTGGCCAAAAGTGAGTGAAAATGATAAGCACCCACTTTCTCCAGACAAATCCAAATCCAAATTTGTGCCAAACATAGGAAAAAAGAAAAATAAAAATCTTATTGCTATGTACATTGTCATTGATCAATCACTTATATATATTATAAACAAATCAATGATAGACATATATTATTTCAGTGTATATATATATATATATATATATATATATATATAATTTTTATTTAAAAATATATGACAAATCAAGTCATCAATTTTCTAATCTTATAGTAGTAAGTATAAATTAGATTAAGTAATTTATTAAAAACGAAATTGCAAGTTGGTATCTTTCGGTGTGCTTGTCGGCTGGCCATTAGACAAGTGGGTGGGCGGAAAGTCGCAAAAGACTTAAATTGACCATACATTTAATTTGGTTATTGACTCGTGTATATGCCTAATATTTTGGACTGCAGTTTGCTGGTGCTCGTGACATTTATTAAAATCCTTCAACGAGGCACTGGAACCTAGACATGGCCAAAACACGAGTCGGATTTGTTTGGTCCGGTTCAACAGACCGATGGGTTGGTTTTAATGGACCTTGAACTGGTACGGGCCTAGTCGTGTAGGATCTAGGCCTGCCAAATAAACAAAGAAAAAAAGAAAAAAAGAGAAAAAAATTAAAAACAATGTGTTTTTTCCCTTGCCGGACAGGAGTCCGGGCTAGGGTCCACAAAAACAAGACCCTATTCCGGATCGGCTGAAATCAGAGCGGGGTCGGAACCCATGGTCAACGGATTTCACCGGGCCGGAGGGGCCAGGTGGCCCGTGGCCACGTCTACTCCAGCCGAACAATTTAGGATAAGCAAATTGAAAGCTAAATTGAGCAAAACTAAGCCAAAATTGAAAAACCAAATAGCTATGTGCAGTTTTGATGCAATCCATATCATCTATATTAGCGTGTAATTGAATTTTTTGTGTTGCGCTTAGTGTAGTAAACGAGCTCGTTAAGGCCTCGAGCTCGAGCCTTAACGAGCCGATCTCGAGCTTTAACGAGCCGACCTATAAAAAAATTATATAAAAATTACCTTTTCGAGTCTTATGGAGCCGAGCCGAGCCGATCTCAGCTCGTTAACTAAACGAGCTTTAAATGAGCTCAAACTCAGCTTGTTAAGGTCTCGCGCTTGCGCTAAAGTTCGGTTAAGCTTTTTCACAATTTTTTTTTTTTTTTTGGGTACAAAAAAGGGAGGCAAAGCCTACAATCTAAATAACAATCTTCCGAGGGTAAGCCACGCCTACCAAGTCATGATGGAGCCAAATGCCCACCCCCGACGGAGGAGACTCCAGCCGATGAAAACCGCCCGGGCTCTGTGTCGCTAAGGAAGCCAAATAATCCGCCACAAAATTAGCCTCCCTATAACCATGTAGAACCCTCGCAACCCACTTTTCACAAATTTAAATTTCTTATTTTTTTTTTTCTTTTTGAAAGTTCCATGCAATATCTTCTGCACACACATGAAGACTTTGAATGACACACAAATGAAGAAAATAGTTAACCACCACCTCCACCAAACCTTCTTCATTCACACCATTTTGTCAATGGTGGTGTGCTAATTCATGCCTATAAATAGGCTTGTTATTTC